CCAGTTTAAATTATTTCTCGAAATAAATAACCAAGTTACGGTCTAACGTTAAATTATTTTTAACAACTCAAAAAAAGTAACTTATAATTTAACATTATAATACTACCTAATTACTGCCTAGCATTGAATAAATCATTAGAAAACAAGGGATATAATTCGAATGTACAACTTTAATTTTGATATTTTTAGTGTTTTTTTTAATGTCAAATTATTGTTTAATTGGCGTTTTAAAGCATTTTGTTGGTATTTTTTTTTTTTTGAACATTAAACCTGTGTACTGATTTTGTTGAAACCATATTTGTATTAACATCTCATTTTATAAAAAATACCGAAATCGAATAGAACCTATGTTAAGTCACGGACGAGATAAACAAAGACATTAAAAATTCAAAAAATCTAAAAATCCAGGAACACTTTTTCACAGAATTACGGGACGCCGTCAATTTTTCGATTCGTAATTCGAAACTTTCGTTCGAAATTCGGTTGAACGATTCTCGAAATAGGTGACATATGTGATTGATCGAAAAAATGTCAATTATGATTTCGTGTATTTATGGATATGACTGTAAATTTAAAGCAACAGAGACACATTTTAAAACAGCCCAATGTGCACAAATATTGTAATGTTTGAAATATTGTAACAATTCAATTACACTAAATTGATTTAAAATGTAAAATAAGACATTTTGAAATTATAAAAATATTTTAATATATTTTCTAATTATCGAAATCATCTGCGCTTATTAAAAGTTAACGAAAATTTCAACAATAATTGTTGTTATTTTCTTTAAACTGATGTTCGTGTAGTATACGTGTCCCGGTGTAGTTTCAAAAGTTAAAAAAAAATACAATAAAATAAAAGTAGAAATGAGAAAAGAAAATTCGAACGTCGCGCTATAAGAAAAAGCTTACGCAGTAAGTACTGCGAGTGCCACAATAAATATCATTCCTATTTATTTATTTATTTTTTTTTTTTTTGTTTTTTTACCCGATGTGAAAAAAAGAGGGCGAAACGCGTTGTGTTTGTATATAGGTATATAATAGATGGTTCAATCAAGTCACGAAAGGAATTCAAATCTATCGCCTAAACTATTATTATTGGCCTACTTATATCGTCATAATAATAACAATGATAATAATAATAATAATGATAATAATAGTCAATTTACTACAAAATAATAAAAACGACTTTACCGACATAAATCCGTATCACAATAACGACTGTCTCTGTCGTGGAAATCCTATATTTGACGGTGGGATAAGACGATCGCGTGCGTGTCGTCACTGTTGTCTCACGCACCGTTTGCGTAATGAAATTGTCGTGTAAGGGGGTGAAAAAACTACCATAATAATGCGATATTACAACGTAAGTAAGTACACTTTTTCACCCCGCCAAAGCTCGGCGTGTCGAAATACCGATTCGTTTTTATTACTCTTCCGGGCGGTTAACGGCTGCAAACGGAGCAGCGGCGTTCACGGTCGTGCCCCGTCAGCGTTTAGGCGTTCCGGCATCCGTTTCAGCACCTGGGCAAAAACGTCGCGCCCGTTTGTGATCGGTCCTTTCGGCGCGCGCAAATGGCATTTATTATCGTGTTGCTCTTTCGATTAGGATATCGATTAATTTATAATCCGCCGTTTTTACGGGCTAACATATTAGTATTATTACGATTATCTAATGTATCCGATATTGTCGGGTTCGATACCGACGAGCACAGGAAACATGTTTTTCGTCGTCATTTGTCTCCAATGAACTGTCTTCCGCGGTTTTGCAAAACAATAAATCTATTGTTATTTTCGACGAAGTTTCGACGCGGGTTCGCGAACGGAAGCGGCCGGAGACTCCGGACGAAGCAATTTAAAATTATCACATCAACACAATGTAACTTTTCCGCGCGCGCTCAAACGCGCAAGAATGCGGTTAATCTGAACCGACCCGGTGCCGAAACTGGTCCTGAATTGTCAATACGCACCCCGTGATGTGAACAACCGTAATACGGATTAGGACGGAATAATGATATTATTACTTCTGTTATTATCGTCGACGTTATTGTCGATTAAGTACCCGTATACCTATACGGTCTATAATATGTGTTTATATAAAGTGTTAACGTACTGCGACGAGTCTGATGAACGGAAGAAAACCGCATGCGCGCCGAACGATACGCGGACGTAACAGGTCGTTTTTAACACTATACACTGCAGCCTAACCCTCCTCCCCCGGCCAATCGCAGCAGTCCATCGCACGACATTATGAAACACGACGATGATAAAATAATAATAACAATATTATGAATATGGTCGTGATTTGCTAACAAGCTGTTGTTATTGTGTACAATATTAAATACGAATATAATATATAAAAAAACAAAGCGACGATATTCTCGTGATGTGCAGTTTTGTGCACGCATACCTTTTATACGAAAATATATATATATATATACGAGAGAAACGGGGAGGGGAATTGATTTTTTCCCCCTCTAAAGTTTTTTTTTTTACCCGGTTGTTGTCCCGCCTCACCCGTTCCCACTGCTGCAGCAGTGTACCTATATATAGCTCCGCGACTCAGAGTGGTATTATTAATATTCAGCGAATACGGACGTTAAAAATAAGTTTAATAAATTAGCACCAATCCTTCATCATCGTTATTTATATATATATATTTGTATCCTGCGACCGACCAACAGCAGCTTGTTAGGTATGCAAATAATTTTTGTTTTTCGTCTATTTTACGATATTATTTTATTTCTCAACGTGCACGCAAAAAAAAAAATAATAATAATAATAATAATAAAAACTATGCTAGACTCGTTAAATTCGTTCTTTTCGTCTATCCCCCCCCCCCTTCCTGGCAATACTGACACAGCAGAGAGCTCTCCCGTCAACTCATTCGTCTTTGCTGCCGTTCGTTATACTTACCTCTCACCCGATTACCGACCGACTCCTTATTTCCGATGTCTCTCACACGCGCATGTATATATACCTACGTCTCGTGCAAAAGAATCAAAAATCGATCGAGCTATCTTAATGTTTTTTTCCCTTTTCGAAACACCTCCCGGATGACTCGATCCCGAACCGTTGATAACGATTTTAATATTTCAGTGTATCGAGTATATTATAATATTTTAGTAAAATAATTGGGAGTAGACGCAAAAAGAGATTTTATGTAAACAGAGAGAGAGAGAGAGAGAAAGAGAGAGAGATTTAAGGACTTGGTGAAGCCCACGATCACGTGTTTACACAGACCTTATTCGAGTTCGTTTTAGAGTTCACATAGAAATCCTCCTTGTAAAACACAGATACAAATAAAGACAACTTTTTTTCAATTGAACAATGTTGATATGTATAATACTAATATCGAGTTATAACAGTTTAATATTTAAACTGGAGGAATAGGAAAGAATTACGAATTTGTTAACTAAAAATGGATATGGAATTTATAACCTTTCCGTACGCTTCCGGTCTAAATTTAAAACTGTTATATAATAGCACATAAACGCTAAATCATATATTGGTTTTGTAACACGCCTAAATGTTTAGAAATATGGTCAAGATTAGTGTTCGAAAAAAGCGGACGTTCCAACTTTATAGTAAAAATAATATACTCATTTAAAGTTCGCATACCCCGGTAAGGGTAGAAATTATTATTTTAAAATAAAGCTTAAAAGAACGATGGTTGAAAAAAAAAAACAAAAAAACACGAAATCAAATTCACTCGAAATCGCCCGAGAAAATTGCTGGCTGGTGCTAAGTTAATCATTCTGTATAACGGTCGGGTCGATATTTTTGTACATATTTTATGTAATGCAGCAACCGTAGGTAAAATGTATATACATTTTTTTTTTCTCCGCTCGTATTACCCTTTTAAAACACGATGGCGGCGATCGAGAAATACATTATATCGTATACTACGCACGTATAATATTATTATTATTAATGAGTCGTCATATTTTATTCCGAAATATCCCGGAGGGTATAATTAATTTATATCCAAAACGTAATACGCATCAAAGCAAGTTATATATTATATTATAATGAAACGTTTTACGCGGAGTTGGGAGTTTAAAACGTTCAAATGGTAATGAATTATTATTTATTTCGACCTACCTACACACGAACCAGCATCAAAACCGAAATCATTTAAAACCGTAATCACTATATAATATACGAGTAATATTAGGTGCCTATACTGTCTAACTTTAGAAATCGGGCACTTCAAACGAATTGAAAATAGAAAATGCAGGCGAATTCGAAAAGCACAAAGAAGATTATAAAATATTTTAGTTGCCATCCTCCGCCTCAGCCCGTCGAAATATGTTTTCAGTTATGCCTTGCACAGGGAGGTATTTCACTCCCGTTCAGTGTAAAAATCCAAACCCTTTATCCCTGATAATCATTCGAAATTATCCCAACCCCTTCTCGTTCGATATTCGTATATGTATATATATATATCCCCCTCCGCAGTTATAGATTAACACGATTATACTGAAAACTGAACATTTATTTTTTTTTATTTTTATCACAGGATCACATTAAATATCCACGACATTATATTTTATAATAATGTATGTGCACGTTTTTAGATTCTGAATTTTAAACAAAAAAAACGTGCATTTTATTTTTGTGTACAAGTTTAATATTTAGAAAATATTCTCGAAAAATGTTAACAGTACAACAATATATTCTATTTTATCTGACTTTTATGTAGAAACGGTGTGACTTATCGCGTTATGGTAATAATACGCGTATGGTGGATAAAATTGAAATCGAAATAATATAATTTATAAATTTAATTCTAGTTGTAACGTTATTACAATGTTATAACTACGCCGTTAATATGATCACGAAATCGTTGTTGTCCAGGATTATGCCCGAATGATATCGCGTATTATAATGTTATTAAAATAATACCTATGCAGTTTCGCGATCATGCGGCGGCGGCGGCGGCGGCAGCGCGCGCACGCGAGCGAAATTTCTACGGCACGGCCGCGCGAGCATATTATCTTCGTACTCACTCTCGTATATAATATAATGAGTTTTCTGGGTTTGACTTTTCCAGTATTATTATTATTATTATTATTATTATTATTATTATTATTCGAAAGCGCGGGAATCTGACATTCATTATGTAGTTTCTAAACTAAATGCGGAGTAACTGTGACAATCGCTTCGGTGTGTACGATGTGTATATGTACGTGTATAGAAAGCCGGGGCTCCGGGACTCCAATTAGCACTACGTACAACTTTTATAATTGTGTAACGTGTGTAGTATGTACGCACCACGCAAATAATATGTCAAGTTTACCGTCACTCGTATCCAACCCAAAAGGGTTGTTACGTTGTTGTTTTTTTTTTTTTTTCTTTTTTTATTCTCCTAACAGGTTGATTAGAATTTCGTCGTACACGGCGTTATATCCAATAAACCCGGGACACCTATACTCCGCAAGCACACGTTATTACACGTCTGTATCACCCTTATCACCTATATCACATTATACACAGCGCACGCGATACCCGAACCTGACAATAATTTTATTCCGTTTGATCGTCGTCGCACCGGAGTTATATTATATTCTGTAACATATTATAAGTATAGACTATAGATATACATTTTTTTTTTTTTTTTTTTTTTTTTTTTTTAACCCTCTATATAAGTTTATATTATTATTATTATTATTACACGTGCGCATAACGATATTTCGTATTTCGCGAGTATATTTACGAGAATTTGTTCAACTCTTCGTACGACGTGCTGACGAGGGATGCTGACATCGTTAAAAAAAAATCCATCGTTATGCGGACGAAGGAAAAAAAGATTTTACACAGTATCACCGTCGGAAAAGCTAATAATATTACGTATACTGAAATATCGTTGTTGAATATTACAATTAGTGATTTTAAATAGTGAGATTCTACTGCAGCGTTGTTAAAATTGTTTTTTTTCTTTATAATCCGAACGAAGAATACATTAGTTATACTATTATGTATTTCTTTTTTATATATATATATATATATACCCGTAAATAACCTTTTTAACAAAAATCTTGATCCAATCAAAAATTTGAAAAAAACTTTTTTGTAACATTATTAATCTAGTTAGTGAATTGAAGAGGTAATTGTTTGATTTGCATTGTAGTTTTCTTTATAATTTAAAAGTGGAAAATTCGGCAACCATTTGTATATATTTTTTTGATTTCTGTATTTCCTTGGCCACAAGGGAAAAATACGATCAGAATCGTTTTTTGTATTGATTCATCGTTGCGCACATATAATATTTAAATAATTCTAAATAATTTTAATGTGTTCTACCTTCCTTACTATCGATTTATCATCTAGAATCGCAGCTTGTTTTTTTCTTTTTAAGAAACTCGGTATTCTTAAAAAAAAATTTTTTGTTTCCTGGAGGATGAAATTTAAAATCGAGTTGTCTGATAGTTTTCAATTGTGCTCTTTAGAAATTATTGAAATGATATTAATAAATTATATAGTTTATTGGATGGATTGTGGTAATCGTCATAAATTATTTCATTATAATTAAAAGAATTTAGCAGTTTTCAATGATTTGGAATACATTTTACAAATGGTGAAAAATATTGTGACAATTTAATATATAAATAATAATAATGATAAATGACAACATCAAAATAAATAAATATCTCAAAGGCATCTCTTCTACATAAAAATTCTGTTTTTCTTAATCTATCTTTTGATTGTCATTTCTTCGTTTTTATCATCAGATTTAATAACTCACCTGCTATTTTCTTCTTGTTCCAAATACTGTCTCAATTCATTTTCTCACATTTTTCTCACCCTGCCGCACGCGTCAATCACCTTGACATTCTCGTCATATTTCTGCCGATACTTCCGTTTTTGGATCATTTCTTCTATATGTATATCCGATGCGCATACATCATCGCCTAGAGCTCACATACATTTTATCGAATTTCCCTTTTATCCTTTATAACGATGACATTTTTTTTATCGCGCTCAACTGCACTTCTGCTGTCGCTTCCCTCGTCCACTACGTCCGGCCGCACCTATCTATCATATTATATCGTCCGCATCCTCAAAGCAACTTACACCAACTATAAATTATATTATAAGAAACAACATTAGCGTACTCGCCCGCCTCTATATTATAAAAAATATTATAAAGACGCGATTCACCTGTAGTTCACTACGCAGTTCACCTAAAGCCACCTCGCATACACACGACAAGCCACGATAATCTCGGCCGTGTCAAACATTCGTATAGGCAGCGATGGGTCTTGTCGCAAAACGTCTGACGTACGCGTCTCATCATCTGCGTTGGCATATCTCATCAATTCAAATTTAATCGCGAATAACGCCGACACACAATGCTCGGTAAAAGGTGAGCACATATTATTGTTGTCTCACACGGGAACAGAATATCAGGTGCCTTGACACTACGTATATATGTAGTGATGCGTCGCCGACGCTAACGCGGTGACTTGACTATAAATATTACCCAAGTATACAATATAACTGTGCTCTATACTAAATTATTATTAAGAAGAGAAATTATTTCTATTTTAAAAATCTGAAATCTATTGTTTTTAATCCACGGACCAGCGATCGACAATACGTGAAGGTTTTTTTTTTCCGGCAACTCTTTTTGAAATTATTTTATTTTATTATTCGCGTCAAGTGGCAGTTTAACAAGATTAGGAGACACGCAATAATACAAATTTTAGGTAAAGTGTATGAATAGAGTAAAAAAACATGCGATAAATAGGAATACATAGGTAACTTGAAAGTATTTTTAACTAATAAACTATTTTAATATTTAAATGTGACGGAGAATTTAGAGTTGTTTGCAGTTTTAAAAATGCGGTATAAGATGTGAGTACGCCCATATGATATTTTTTGTGCCGATACATAGAATTCAGGTTTATTTCTTGAATAGTGTGAGGGCACTCTGAATGGTATATCGGTGAAAATGTCAGCTAAGTATGTTGTAAGAACAACACTACTGGTTATTGCGGAATTATCGTGACGGGGTCCGTCAAGTATTTGTTAATTAACACATTAATAATAAAAAATCTTTTAATATTTTTATAAATATTAATACAACAGTGTTTTTAAGTACATGTTGAAATTCGTGGACATTCGTTTTTTTTTTTTCTATTTCATTACACAGTTTTGTTCATTTAATTCCGTACTTAAAAAATATTTTATAAACAGCAGTTACTTATAATCAATTTATGAATAAGAAAATAAATAACAATAGTTCTGTCGTCGATATTATAATATAAAAATTAAAATTCAAGAAAACCATTAACTAGTATACATACTTGTTTTATATGTACGTATATACCTATGGTTGTTTTACCATCTACAATATTGATGACACGATATTATACATAATAAAAAAACCAACATAGGTGTAAAAAAAATCCAATAAGGTATACATTTTCATTGTTCTATTTTAATTTTTTTTGACTTTAATAACCGTATTTTACACAGTCGGAGATTAACTTTTTAATACTCCATGCATTATTATTAAAATAATAATAATAGTTCCAGTGTCTTTATTACGGACTACCTATAATTATGTTTATTATTTTTTAATTTTTTTAATTTATTAATAAAAAAAACCTAATACCGATAATGGGTGTTTAAAAGGAAATTTAGAGGGGAGGGATATATATCATATACAATAATCCAATTTATATATTTACTCAATGATAACCTATAGCTCATAAAATACAATTCTGAGCACATCATTATTAGTGGTTTTTTCCCCTTGTTACCAAGATAACCTAGAAAACATTAAAAATTATATAATTAATTTCCAGTTTTTACAAATTATTATAGAATCTACAAGAAAAATCAAAAAATTATCTCCTCAATTCAATTCAAAATGTAGATCAATAATTCTATGAACAAGGTCCTTTACAATTTTTGATTTATAAAAGATTTCTGGTAGTCCTGGACACAATAAAAACATACCGAACTAAAACAATACACTACTTACTTCTCTCAGAATCTAAAATTGTAATTCTTAAATTATAATTTAGTGCGGAATGTTTAGAACATGTATAATAAAACATAAATAATAAATATAAAAAAGGAAGGACATATTTCGCATGTGGGCTCAGCCACTGTTGTATGTGAAAAGTAGAGAAGATAGGATAAAGACGAGAATTTAATGTATATCTGTAATCAACGATAAACCATTGCTAACGAGTTAACGATTCTGAGCAGAGTTCAGTTGATAGTGTGACTTTGCCAACAATATGTATGTTATATCATGGTAAAATAATAACAACAATGTGCGTTTCCATAAAAACAATGATTGTTGAAAATAGATTAAAATAATAAAAACTTAATAACAAAAAAAAAATTTAAAAATAAAAAAGTTGCCAATAACAAACTTATTTTTAATCATTTAAATTTTTTCTAACCTAAAGCACCGGGTTTTCTTCATTATCTCGAATACTAATGAAAATTTCAAAAAATGACCTCCCTAATGTACCACCCAGAAAACATTTCCTTTGAGAAAAGATATGCTATACCTAATAATCGGTGGAAACTTTCAAGTAGAAAAAAATGCTCACATAAAATAACAGATCATTTTAAATTCGCAATTTGTTTAAAAATGGTGATGGTCTGTTTACCGTGAATATAGAGCAAATCATCAAATGCTATATTAACAGGTACCAAACACGGATTTTTGAAGTTTTGAGGAACAAAATGGCAAGAAAAAAATGTTTTTGCGTTTTGCAATTGGTAAATATAATTCTCATGGGACGTCATCTTCTCTACAAATGATATTTATACAAACAATGCATTTAAACAATATGATTAATTACGTTTCTGAAAAATCAGCACTTATATAGTAATTTCGGCCGTCATTTAAAAGTTATTAAAATATTTTACTCTTAACATTTTCTCTGTTAAAGAAATCGTATTTCCACTATTCGAACGTCTACGTATCCATGGGGATGAGTTTAAGATTATAACCCCCCCCCAGAATTTGAGAACTGTTTTTACCAACTCTACATAAAATATACATTTAGTTTCATTATTATTTTTTTTTTTTACAATTTTGAATACATATATATCATGTGCATTGTGCACACTGCACTTCGCCTATTTAGTAATTATGAATCCTAATTCCATATACAGGGTTTTATTTTTATATAATACTCTAAAAGCGAAAGTTAATAAAATAATTGTACCTAATATGTTTCCAAAACTATAATATAGTGAATGAAACGTCGTATTCTTTTAACATTATATACCTAAGTATAGAGGTAAGTCGAGAGTAAACTACGTGGTTAATTGAATTTGCGTCCGCGTTTTACTTTTCGAAAATAATAATGAAAAAAAAACCTTATTCGTATTTCGTGACGACCGGCGAATCGCATAGTGGCTTTTGTTTCTATGTGCGATAGAACTCGAAAAGGGTATGAAAAAGCAGAAAAACCTGGGCGAAAATGTATTATATAAAGCGAGTAGTATTTTTCTTGTTTTAAACGATCCTATATATATATATTTTTTTTTTAATGCTATTGTTGGTCCACAAAATACGTGAAGCGACCACTCGGTAAAAGTTAGTGTTGTGGACATTTTGCTCTTTCTCTCTCTCTCTCTCTATCTCTCGAATCTTATATACACCGCGAAAGCCCTCTTGAACTTCCGACCGGAAATGTGTGAGAACATAAAAAAGTCAAGGCGTTTAAAGTGTTGTTTAGAAAAAAAAAAAGAAAAAAGGGGAAAAAAGAAAAGAAAACCCAGAGAATACTCTTAAATTTTGGATATTTGGCACTTTTATCACTCTCAACGCGTATACCGTTTTATACTTTCTCTCTTTCTCTCTCTCTAGATTTCTCTCTCCCTCGAGCGTGCACGAATGTTTTTCGAGCATATATTATTAAAAACTTACGAGGCTTGTGCGTATAACACTTTTTTTATGATGATTTATATTATATTATATATAATTCATGAATTAAAAGTTTTTTTTTCCTCGTATATCCTTGGCCCGTCCGTGTGCTACACTGCTGCAGTCTGGCACGTTGACAAT